CTCTTTAACAAGGCTCCAGAGCTGTTTAAGCTCAGATACGCTGCCAGGTAAAACAGGGTGGGAAGGCCACGTGTAGGCATTGTCGGCTACTGGAGAAGGAGCGAAGGAGGGGACAGGGGCCAGAAGGGCAGTTAGGGTGACGTCCTGACCGCGGTGCCTGCCTGCCTCACAAGGCCCATGTCCCGTATCCCTTTCCCACATGAGAGAGGAATTTCTCCACGAAGTCCCTGGAGATGCTCACTCAAAAGAGGCTACATAGTGACCGTCCATCTGTACACCCTAGGTATATCACGGCACCGTGGTCTGTCCCTTCCCGCTGCCACAGCACACAAGAAGGCAGTGCTCAGGGGGATTGTGCTCGCTATGGATCCCATGCGCCCAATGTACCTGCCTGTGATGGCATTCACAAAGGTCTGTGGCGTGCGTGCAGTGTTTTGTTTGTTTTAATATTGTGCACCAAAAGAAAGCAAGTGTCTTCCTTGGTCACAGGCATCAGAGGGTTTCGTGTGCTCTTTTCTTCCTAATCATCGCTCCTTTGCTTTGCTTTTCCCGATGAACTCTTCTGGCCTTTGGGACAGCACAGAGCTGCAGTCCACACTGCATGGTGGTCTTGATTAACTGGGCTGTTCCAGCTCCTGTCCTGCCTCAGCATCGTGAACACATTGCACAGTCTCTGCACCTCAGTTTTCTAGTTTGCAAAATGGTCCAGTAATCCTAAGGGACATCATTAAGTCAGATAGTAGAGCTCAGAACTACAGTGCTCAGTAATTAGCATGTACTCAGTGTGTGGTCTTGGTACTAATTTCTCTGCCACCCTGGGTATTTGTCCGTTTTCCATTCCTGTAACCAAAGTACCTGAGAATGTCAACTAAAAGGAAAGATTTACTTTGGCCATGGCTTCAGTCCATGATTGTTTGGCTCCATTGCTTTTAGGGCTGCGCAGCAGGGTAGGGTGGGAATATGACACAGAAGGCCATGGCAGAGAGCAGCCACTCACCTGCGGGCACCTGGGAAGACAGCCGGAGAGGAAGGCCTGGGAACCATCAGTTTATTGCCCTCGGGATCAAGTTAGAGCCTCATGAACCAGTCACTCTCCAAAAGCCCCTCGGCAACCAACCTTTTAACAGTCTTTGGGAGGACAATCTGAACACCAACCATAGCCCTTGCTGCCTGGCTCCAGTGGGAGAGGAAAAGACACGGTTTACCAAACCATCATGTTACACAGAGCTTCTTTTCCACTTCTTCCTGTGCTGCTTCTCCATTTCGTCTGAAATCCTGGGAACCTGTAAACCCCAGGGATTGCTCATCAGCATCTGGTATTTCTTGTCAAACTCCCAGGCCCCGGCTTGGAAAGCTTTCTTCTGTCCTGGCCATCTTGATGTGTAAGGAGATCCTCGTGGCACCCAAACAACTGAAAGTGTCAAAATTCCACCTGGGAACAGAATTCTTCTTTCTGTTGCTGGACCTGTGTAAACCTTGTGGATTGGTAGACTCTCCTCCAGAAACTGTCAGAAGCTTATGTGCTCCACTTCAAATCCTGTCTTAAAACTGCCAGGGGCATGGATTTGAGGTATTTGTCTTTTTATACAGCTTCTCCACGGATTCTTACACTCAGTCTCATTTGGAAACTGCTGATCTAAATGAAACCTGTCCCTTTAATGCCAGTGGACCTGGCCAGAGCAGGCGGCTGACGGGGTCCTGGAGCCTGCCTGGCCCTGCCCCTCTCAGACAGACTGGGTTGTACAGTCATACAGGGAGTTGGACGCCTGGCTGAAAGCTGTCTTGCCTGTCTGGGTCTCAGCTTCCTGCCCAGCATCTGCAGCCTCTCAAAGCTGTTGGACTTTGGCAGCAGATGGCCCTAATTTTCCAGAAGCGTTTGAAAGTTTACAGTAGACAGCCTTCTCAGAGAGTTCCCTAGACTACTCAAGTTGAGTGTTATCTTTCATTTCTTGTTACTCCTGGCAGCTGGATGCCTGGCTCTTGCCTTCATCTGGATCATCCAGCCCCAGCCCCAGTCAGGTGAGGGTCTTTGCTACCGTCAGGAGCATGGGAGGAGCAGCCATGCCTAGGATGCCGGAAACTTTCCAAAAGCAGATCTGGCATGCTGGCCTGGGGGAAGACTTCAAACTGCAGTGGTATTTGTGGAAAATTTGGATTAGTCACTATTGTATCCAAGTGCTTGGCATTTTATTTTGTCTCCCTTTGGCTTGTGTTATCAGTAACGCATTGTTGAGAGAACTTACATAACTATCCCTTGCTGGAGCGCTCTGAGGTGGAGCTGCTCTCTTGGTCAGTAGGTGCCCAAGAAGGAGGATACAAAGGCACACCGATCACCTTTATAGTCCTCAGAAGGGCAAAGGACCACCGCCAGTGGGAGAAGCATGGTTGAGAGGTGTCCTTCTGAGGTTCTCTGACCCTCCTGTGTTTGCATGGTACCCTGGAGAAGGAAGCTTGGTACTGGCTTAGTTATGCACAACATTGAAGACCTGTGTGACAGATTGGACTGAAAGTGTCACTGGCCAAACCTTCACCATAGCTGATGAGGTGGTGAGGGCTAGGCCAGCGATCTGTTTCATTTTCCTTACATTTTTCAGAGACCAGTGGGTTTTGCCTTTCAAGGTCTACCACAAGGGGTGGGAATTGGGGGAGCCTAGACACCCCAAGCCCTGATTTGGATTGAACGGGTTCCCTCTGTTCTAAGGCACCGCATTTAATGGAAGCCTAAGCTGGCCAGCATCGCGTGCAGAGAAAGCCTCATATCCCTAACTCTAACCCTTTTTGATGCTCGAACATCTTCTAATTTTGAATTTGGATTTCCGAGTTTGGAATGCCCAACTAATAAATTCTATGCAAATATTACAGAATATGAAAAACTCCCAAATCAGAAACAATTCTGGCTCCAAATATTTTGCCTACAGGAGCCTCAGCCCATAGAGCCGCCTCAATAGAGGGAGCATTCTGTCCTGCTGCATGTGAAGAGAAAATGCTGAGTGCTTGTGCCTGCCTCGAAAGAACACAAAATCTCAGGGGAAGAGGTAGGAAGAAGCAGGAATGCTGGTACGACAGTATAACTCAGGGCTAGGTGTGTATATTCCAGGTGCTGGACAGGTCCTAACTTGACAGCCTAGACTAGTCACTTAACTGTTTCCTCCAAATAGCATGGTTTCTCACAAGATCAGTATGAGTAACAAATGCCTGGGTTTGGTAAATGCTTAATGTATGTTTTTTGTCTTGTGCTGTTGAAACCAGGCATCGTCGCTGTGCTTATAAATGTATTCATTTGCTCATTCATTCATTAAGCATGTCTTTTTAAAAAATTTATTTAAGTTTAAAGAGAATAAAACAAAAGAGAACAGAACAAAGCAAATCAGAACAGAACTATGCAAGCAACACAGCACTTCACCACAAGACAACCCGGTATCAACAGTAGTTCCCATAAGGTCTCTTTTCTTCAACATAGTTGAGCATACCTTCACACACATTAATATCAAACATAACAACATAGTATAAAACCATTCAAAAGAATGAGAGCATTATAGGTCTTCAAAACCAAATAATAGGAAATGAACAATAGCTACTATAATATCTCATTTTCCTTAAAAAAATTTGTTTATACCATCACACATAATAAAATCAAGGAAAACGTAACAGGATAGAACCAATCAAAACAGAGGAACAAAAGCATGATAGGACTTCAAATCAAGATGATTAGTAGTTCAGCAATGGCTGCCATAGTGTCTTGTTTTCTTCCAAATAACTGTTCCTACCATCACACATAATGAAATCAAACAAAACAATAAAACCAATGAATGAAAGCATTATAAGACTTCAAACCATTACCATAAAATATTCAAAATAGCTGCCCCTACTATCTGACATCATAAAATCTAACAAAACAAGATTGAACAAAGCCAGCCTTAACAAAATTGTGTAAACAATGTGAGAGTTTAAGATAAGACATTAAGAAATTGACAGTAGTGAGTTTCCACCTTTCCCTCCCAGGTGTTTCCTCCCCTTGCTCTTGCTTTAATTATTTTGCTTTTGGATCCCATTAACTCCTTCTGTTTCTTATGCTAAAGTTCACGCGTATGAGTTCCAACTGTTTTGGCCATGAACATGATATCCAGTTGTGTCTATTTACCTACCGGAGCCTTAAGATTATCTTACTGTATAGCTAGGTAGCTTTGCACTGCATGAAAATACCATATCTTTCTTATACCTTTCTGCGGTTGAAGGGCAAGTTACTCTTGCTTTTTTTTTTTTCTTTTTTGATCTCTGTCACATGGAACAATTGTTTTCTCTCCTTTGATTCTCAGTCTATGAATGTCCTTTCCAGTTAAATGGGTTACTTCTGTACCGTATATGGATGGATCTTGTTTCTTGATCCACTCTCCCTATGTTTCTTTTTATTGCTGACCAGAGGCCATCTACATTAATGGTTACACCCAGCATACATTGGTTTGTCTTTGCCCTGCTGTCTCCTGTTGTTGGCCCTCCACTTGTCTCCTTCATTCAATTGCCTGTCTTGTTTGGCAATCCTCCCCTGCTGCTGTTCCTGGAACCATGGTCATCTTTATCTCTCTCTAGAATATTCTTTAGCACTCTCTATAGGGTTGATTTGGTCTGGATATAGATTTACTTTGGTTATGGCTAGTTGGTGTCCTACATGCCTCACTTATCTGCATGCCAGATCCATTTCCCATGTTTGGAAAATTCTCTTCTATTACTTCTATAAATATCCTTTTAATGTCATTTGTGTTGACACCTATCACTCTTAAATTATACTTCTTTGCATAGTCTTGCCTTTCATTTTTTATTTCCTGATTCTGTGTTAGTTTTAAGAGATCTTTCCTTTCATGATTACTAGCTGCAATCCTGTTTTGAAGTCTCTTTCAAGTGGTTTTGCCAGCTTTCGATTGAGTTTTTAATTTCCTGCCTCTCTCTTTGAGTCTGTTCCCTGCATTGTAACTCCTTTCTACCTTCATTCAAGGTTTCCATCATTTTCCTATGCTCCTCTTTATTGTCTCTGTCTTCTTTAGACCTGCTGGATAATTCTTTCAGTATGTTTGTGATTTCTTCATTTAACTGAGACATTATTTCTGATTTGACTGCTTTTACAATCTCATGAAGTTTTTTCATTACTTCAGTTGCTATCCTCTCAGAGATTTCAGGTATGTGACTTCTGTTCCATGACTGTATCACCCAGACTTACTGTGTGTGGGCTAGAGGTCTGAGTTTGCCTTTGCTCCTTTGTCTTGACATTTTCCTGGGTTCCTCCCAACAAGTTGGTTGTGGGGTCCCAGGGACTTCCTGTGTTGGCTGCCTCTAGGCAGTGTAGAGGAATGGGACAGGCACCTAGGTTCCTCTAATTCCAGATTTACAGGGAGGTAGCAGGGTGTGGAGTGGGCTTCTCCAGAGCTATATAACTATACTGGGGCCTCACTGATGATCAGGTGTGCATATAGGTGGTGCTGCTTCTCTCAGCCTGTGTGTCTACACTGGGACTCCCACAATAGTGACAGCCACACAGGGGTGAATGTTTGTCTGATTCTGCTAGTGGTTGATGGTTGTCTGAGGAACCAAGGGCCTCCAATGGTGGCCTACAGATGCATAGGGCTTACTTGGTGCTGTGTGTCTCTGCTTCTGCTGTCTGCCTGCAGGAAGGAGCCTTCTGGTGACAGCTCCCTGAAGGTGAAGGTGGATCTGCTGGTTCTCTCTGCCCACACCAGCTGCCTGAGGACGTGGCCTTTTGGTGGTAGTGCACAGCTGGCAGAGGTGGATCTGTCTGTCACCTTCAGCCTGTGCTGGGAGTGCAAAGGAAAGGGCTTTCTAGTGGCAGCACCTGGCAGGCAGAGGCAGATCACCTGGTTCTCTCTGCCCACATTGGGCATGCAGAGGAAAGGGTGGTCTGGTGGTGGCACCTGGCAGGCAGAAGAGGGTCTTCTGGTTCTCTCTGCCCGCACAGAAGAAAGGGCCTTCCTGTGGCGATGCCTGTCAGGCAGAGGCGGATCCTCTTCTGGTTCTCCTATTCAGCATGTTTTTATGGAGTAGGCATGTGTGATACCAGGGCTGTGTGCCCACTAATAAGGTGGTGAGTCAAAGAGACTGCTTGGGAGCGCAGAGTTTGGGGTGCACCAGGTGAGATATGTGGAACGGTTCTGCAGCAAAACCAGTGAAGTTGGAGTACTCATAGAACATTGTGAAGAACTGATGGGCTCTTTCTAGTGGTACAGAAGGAAAGAGGATAATTCCTTCTTCAGGAGGGCTAAGCTTCTAGAATTTGACCTTGATGGATACATTATCAAGATGGTTTATTTACATCAGTGCTGGACTGTGCTTTCTGAGGGCAGGCAGGAAGTCATGCTCACTACCCACACTGTATCTCCCATAAATCAAGGCACAGCCTGCAGGAAAGGGGCCTCAACAAGCAGCAAGGAAGAGCCTGTGTGGTCAAAGCAGTGGCCCATGTGAAGGCACAGAGTTCCTGACTGGCACTGGTAGGACAGGAGTACATGGAGACATCAGGGACAGAAGAAGGAGAAGAGTTCAAATAGGGACCATTGCTGGCCTGACAGATGTAGGGCTTTTAACTGAGTCTTGAAGGGAGCGAGTGCTGCTTTAAGTGACATCTGTGTTTTAGATTTGCAAAACTGCATTGAGCATGAGAAAGACTAGAATCAAGAAGACCTGGAAAAACTAATTACATTTGCTCAGATGAAAGAGGAAGATTTAACAAGGCAGTGGTGCTGAAGATAAAGCTAACAATTTGCTTTAGAGAAGCTGATGCCAATGTTTAGCTCATCTTACCTGCACTTAGTAAGCAGGCATTATGAGCACCAAATAATTGAACATGAAAGACTAATTAGCTTTCTGATACTGTAACAAAATATTCAGGATTACTGATTTACAAGGAGTTGGTTTTGGCTCACGGTATCACAGGTTTCAGTACATGGTTGGCAGTGTAGCCGTTGAGCCTGTGGCAGTACAGTACATCATGGCAGGAGTGCATGAAAGAACAATCTGGTCCTCTCATGGTAGCAGGAAGCAAAGAGAAAGAGGAAGAAGTAGGGGATCCCAGTGTGCACTTTGAGGGCACACCCCCCTGAATATCTGCAAGACCTTCACTAGCTCCACCTCTTAAAGATTCTATCACCTCCCAATAGCACCAAGCTGGTGACTCAACCTTTACTCCTCAGACATTTGAATGCATTTTACATCCAAACTACTATATAGCAAATACTTATTTAGATGGTTATCAGTGTGATTTTGGTGAGCAATATATTATTTGTTTTCTGAACAAGCAATATATGTATAAAATATAAAAATACAGGCATGTATACATTTCCTTTTTCCTATAAATATTAGTGTACTACCATAACATTGTGAATATTGCCTTTTTTCTCTTAACAATATGTTGTGGAGTTGGTTAGTACTAGTGATTGAGTATTTTTGACACTCAGTCTTAAGTGGTTGCAGAGAAAATGAGAGAGAGAAGGAGACAAAGGATGAAGCCTTTAATGTGGGCATAGGAGAACTTGATGGGGCAGGGGAGATAGAGGCTCTCAAGTGAGAACAAAGAAGTGGGGCTACTTTTATGAGTTTTGGCTGGGGGAGGAGTTTGAGAGCTGGGGAAAATGACATATGAACCACTGATTTGAAGGAGCATCTGCCTGTGTAGAACAGGAAACAGATTTACTGGGGGTTGGAGGTTTAAGCTTGGGTGGTTGTGAAGTCTTGGGATTGGAGACGGCTCGGCACATGGGGAGTGGTAGGGATATTTATCTCAGGAATGAGAAGGAGGATGCAGAAGTTATTCTTGGAGATACACCTTGCTTCTCTGGGTCCGGTACCAAGTTGGGAGGATGTAGCTAAACCCTAGGCTAGCAAAACCTATCACTAGTTCAAGTAGAGTTACCTTATCCTTCTTAGTTTTTTGTTTTTGTTTTTTTTTTTTTTACTGTAAATTGTGTTATGTTTTAACTTTTTGTGGGATACTTCTAGCTCTCAAGAGTGGCAAATGTAGTGGGTACTGTTCACCCTACTTTTTATGTTAACCTCTTCCACAATCATAAAAATCGTTATTAAAAAGAGAAAATTCTCAAAGAGATGATGAACATTTGAAGAGATAGGTATGCTTATCCTATTCAAAGATTGTAGAAAGTGTAGCCTCTGTGAAATGTCACATGGCAACCCCCATAAAGTTGTACAATTTCTTTGCAAATTTAAAGATTAATTTTTAAGAAACAGTTGATTAACCTTGGTATAGTACCATTAACTTAAAACCTTTCATTTCACCGATTTTGTTGATGTCCTTCTTCGGTGCCAAAATCCAGTCCGAGAACTCACGTTGCATCTAGATTTCATGTTAACTTCCTGCAGCCTGTGACAGTTCTCAGCCTCTCCTTGTCCTTTATGATCTTGACCCATTTGAAGAGCTCTGGTGATTTATTTTGTGAATTGAATGTGTCCGATTTTTACTCATAACTAGAGTGAGGGTGTGTATTATTGAGAAGGACAGCATTGAGGGGATGTGGTTAATACATCTTATGACCAGTGATGTTAACTTCAGTCATCTAGCTAAGTAAGGTATTGTCTTGCAGGGTTCTCCAGTGGAACTTACTATTTGTCCCTGTTGTTGTTACTATTGAGTCCCAACCTGGTCCCTATTCTCACTTTGGCTGAAGAATTTTTTGTTGTCTTATGCACTCTAGGACAGTTAGCAGCACCTTTGTAACTACCCTGACCTACTTGTGATGACCAGAAACTGTCTTCAGAAAGTGCCAAATGTTCTTCTGGGGAGAGGGTCAAATGGGGAATAACTGACTTATAGGATAAAATAACCAGAAGTAGATTTTAAAAAATCTTTTTGTGCATGTATAATTTTTGTGTTTGTATTCACCTATAACAAAAAATGAAACATACAGGAAAAAGCACAAATCTTAAGTTAAGCACAAATCTTAAGTGTACAGTTGCATTCAGTTTTCACAAACTGAGCACACAAGTTTGAGCAGCACATCAGGAAACAGTGTTTTTGGAGTTCCAAAAGATTGCCATTACCTCTTTTTATTCGCCCCTTGCAGTAACCACCATCTTCCCTGGTTTTTCCCATCTTTAAACAAAAACATGTTTACATAGCAGTTATTGATAGATATTGCCTCGTTTTCCAAAGAGGTTGTCTTTTTCACATTTTGTGGCAGTATGGGAAAGTTCCTGCTTTCCTACATCTTCAGCTGATCTTTCTGAGTTTTCCAGTCCGCGTATTTAAGAAATGAATCCACTGCATTTCTTTCAGTAATGAGTTGGAACATTTTCGGCATATATTGAAAAGCCAGCATGTTCTCATTTCTGTGAACTGTTTCCTTGATCTTGTCTTATTTGGGGCTCTGAATTTTCTATTCCCTCTTAACAAGTGAACACAAAATGTAGTGGGTTAAAACAGTGCATTCTAATTGTCTCTCAGGATGGGTAGTGGAAATGTGTTCATGGCTTACCTGGTCTTCACAGTCTAACCATGTTGGCTCCCGGTCGGCAGCCTCATGTGAAAGCTCAGCTGGGAAGGATTTGTTTCCAAGCTCACTTAGAAGTTAGTGGCAGCACTCCATTCCCTGTAGGTCACTGGACCAGGTACCTCAGTTTCCTGCTAGTTCCATGGTCAGGCTGTGTGCAGGTCCTTTCTAACACAGCAGCTTGTGTCATCAAAGCAGGCAAGTCAAAGAAGCAATACACAGTTTCCTAGGATGACAGAAACCACAATTTTTATAACCTCGATGTGCATGTGACATTTTATCATTGTTGCTGGATTTTACAAATTAACAGCAAATCATAAGGTTGAAAAGATAGTAGATGTAGTTGTCAGTAAAGACAAATGCAGGAAGCAGTGGTTTTGTGTCACAACACCCCCATTCCAGTGCTGTTGTCATGAAGAACTGTCCCAAAGCTGTCCAGTACCATTCTAGAGGCATAGAACTCTTTGTTCAATATCTAAAAGACATACAAGTGGAAGGGCAGAGACTTACAGTGGTTTATCAAATACTTTGGAGGAATTGGAAACTTTTGAGTTTCTTGCAGATATATTACCAAAGAATGCTTTTAGCTGATAGATACCTTAGAATGCTCAAAGAAGGGAAGACGAAAGATGAGGAGGAAAAGAATGATGAAATGATAATGATGAAGGCACATCCGGAACTGAAAAAGAAATGCTTTAAAAATCATTCTGGTAAGGACTACCTGGTTATCATCATTGCTTTGAAGTAGGCAAGACATTGTAGTCAACTTCAATCTCTTTATTTTCTTTAGTTCCTTTACATTTCATAGATTTCCAGCAGGTTATATTTTTTCCTGATAAGGCAGAGCATCTCATGCATCTATACTATAAACACCTAAAAGGAAGAAGTCCTAGGTAGCCACCCTTTTGGACAGACTTACACTGACGTTCTGGGCCATTCAGAAAGAGCTAGCTGTGTAGTCAAGTGCTATCAGCTGGTCTACCATGCCTATGAGCTATACTCAAAGACAACTGTGCTCCACTTTTTGATTTACTGATAGATCATGTGTTTTAAAATTTAAGTATTCTTAAAGTGGAGGATGCAAGACAGTAGTTGTTAGTCCTGCTGAAAGAGGATGTTACCCAAGGTCCTAACAACAGCAAGAGACGGAGAAGGCAGAGGCCTTCCTGGAAGATGGCCTCCTCCTCCTCCTAAGTAGAGCATCTTTGTTATACATGGTGGCCTGTGCTTTCTGACAACTGTTGTCTTCTCCATTCTTACCTCTGTCCTGCTCTTTTTGTTCTCTCTTTCTGGGACACATATATCAGCATTTACCATCTGAGCCTCCCTCTCTTCCCCTTTGGTTGTATCCCCCCTCCCTGCTTTTTTTGTTTGTTTGTTTCAGGACACATTCTGTGACATTTATTTGGCTCTATTTTCTAGTCCCCAGTTCTCTCATCACAATTCATTAATTTTTCAGCAGTTACATATTTAATTTTAAATTTTTTTTCAAATTTGTCCCTTTGTACTCCATACTATCTTGTTATCTTGTTGCTTGTTTTTTGTTTTTTTTTTTTTTTTTTTTTTGCAATCTCATCCTCTGTGTCTTTAAGCATTTGATTGTTACTGTACATCCTGTTCTAATCATTACATTATCAAAAACCTGGGCAGTTTGAGCATTTTGTTTGCAGCCCCTGCAAACAGGGGTTTGCAGCCCCATCACGTACATTTGCTTGCTTGTAAGTTTTACTCTGTGCTGAGTAGATCTGTGGCATCCTGAGAACCACCCTCAGTGTCATCACTCTCCTTATAGCTGCTTCATCCAAAGCCAGGGGCTGGCTGTCACTCACTCTTCTAGACTTGCTAAACATCTTCTTAGACCTTCTGACCTGGTCACCAGCACTAGACTTGCAGTGTCAGTGCAGTCACCTGTCTTCAGGGGAACTGAACCTTGTTGCTGATTATCAGCGACAGCCTATGTTTGAATGTATAGGTAAATTTAATTTTGGGTTAGTTTATAATTGCTTCCTTGACTATTTTCCTCTACTTCTGGTGAGCTCAGCAACAAGAATTCTGTTTGATTAAGTACCTAGCCATTAAGTCATGGAGGAGCCGCGCTGCACCTCCCAGAGCACCTGGCCTGCCCCTTTCATGGAAGCAGAGATGTCTCTGTCCATTCTCCTCCTCCTCAGGGGACTCCCTGGACACTGCTTTCATGAGCATGACAAAGTGAATCCATCTCCACCTCATAGCCTTGTCTTCTCGCCCTCATTGTCCAGTTTTATAATTTTCCCCAGTGGTTATCTTGTTACCTTCAAAGCACTTGTATCTCAGTTCTTTTATTTATGTTTTCTCTTGCTCTTCCCCCAGCTGGAAAAGATAAAGAAATTGGTATGTACAAGTAGGCAGCTTCCTTCTGTCCGCATCCTACGACATCCCACTTTGTTTTCCTATCAGTTCTTTGTACCATTTCTGCCCTTCCTGTTGCGTGCATTCTGTTCTCCAACTTCAGGCCCCACCTGATTTCAGCCTTGGATCATTCTTCCCTGCTAGGATTTTCCCATGGGGTCTCCAGCTGGTTCTTAGTTAACTGAAGTTCATTCTATATTTTCTCCACGAAGGATCCAAGTATTATTTGTACATTCAAAAATGTTTTCAGTTACCAAAATACAGCAATTTAGTGGATACAAGCTGTGAATGCTTTGTATGAAATATTTGAAATGCTTGTTACAGATTCTGGATTGCTTGTAGGGAAGAGGATTAGGGAATATTTGACATGAAGGAAATGTCATGAGGGTGAAACCCTAATCTAAACAATGAAATTTGTTTGTGTTTCATGTGTACCTTGCACACATAGCCCAAAGGTAATGTCACACGGTATTTTCAGGGCGCCTCCATGTCTTGGCTTCAGTCTATCACGTGAAGTCAAGTGTGGAATTGTCTACTTGTGGTGTCATGTTGTGTAGCCCAAGGAATTTTAGTGCCTGGAGCATCTCATATTTTAGCTTCCCAGATTAGGGATGCTAGGTCTCTGCACTTCCTGGGTCCCATGGTCTTTCTTCGTGTCGTTATCACCATCCCCTGCCACCTCAGCGCTGCTGCTGCCGCCGTAAAGTTGCCCGTGAACAGTCTGGTGTTTTTTCGCATTACCTGCAACTTGCTCCATTTTCCTGGCTACCCAAAGAGTTTTTTCCTTTGTCTTTGAAATATGATATCTTTATCAGGACGTGCATCTGAGTTCTTGGTGTTTTGCCATTTTTCTTGAAACAAGGCTTTGCTTTTCAATTTGAAATTGAGATCTTTCGTTTCAGGACAGGTCTTGAATTCATATTCAAATGCCTTTTAAGTTGCATATTTCAATTCTCTTCTTTAGGAAGCTCGTGCCTCTGACCCAGCATGGGCTCTTTGACCACCACAGATCAACTCCTAGGGCTATTGTGAAGCTCACCATGATGGGAATTAGAGCACTTTATCGTTTTTAAAGAATGACATGAATGCATACTGTCAATCTAGAAGACATCAACGTGGCAGACAATCACGCAGAGGAGAGCCAGGGAGACTGCTTGGCTTGGGAGCACAGGACAATACTGTAGCCAGCCGCGGGTCAGAGGCCACACTTCTAAAGGTTTCTTTCTGTTCATTCCCCTTTTCTCTAGTTTTAAGCTGAATGTAAAAATGATCACTCTCCTGACTCTTAACACCCTAGTTTTGTCTTTGAATTTATATAAATGAAATTATACGTATTTCATCCTTCTAATGTGTAGTAATGTCTCTCTTCTGTTATTGATGGACAGTTTTGGTGGTTTCACGCTTTGAGACTAACACAAATATTGCTGGAATGAACATTGAGGGATGTCTTTGAGGGACACATACACAGATTTGTTTTCAGTACATACTTAGTAGTAGAATTGCTAGGTATTAGAATGCTCTTGTCTTCAATTTTAGTGAACACTTCAACAGAGTTTTCCAAAGTAGCTGAGCTAAATTATAATCTCACCATCAGTACACAAGAGTTCTTTTTGGGTCACATCCTTATCAGTACTTGGAATTCTCCATCTTTTTCATTCTAGCCTTTCTGGAGGTATACAGAGGTAGACTGGATGGATGACAAAAGAGATTGACTATATGGTCATATGTTTACTGCCATTTAAATATCCCTTTCTGTGAAATGTCTTTTCAAGTCTTTAGCCCATTTTTCTATTTGGTCTCTTTCTTATTTTAACTGCGTGAGTTTTTGTTTTGTTTTATTATTTAATGTATCCTAGGAACAAACATCTTGTCTGTTATATGTTATGAGCACTTACCCCATGAACTGAAATATTTTCTCTTTATTTTCCTACAGTTGTCTTTTGATAAATAGATGCTCTTAATTTTAATATACCATAATTCATTATTTTTTCCTTTGTGTACTTTTTGCATTGTTGAAGAAATTTCTACCAAACCTTGTTCTCCTTCGCTTGACAATTAGAAAAAGTTTATAAGAAAGCACTATCTATAAAATGCATAATAAATGGTTCACACCACCTTTCCCCCCTCTCTCTTGATGTGGCTGTTCCCCTAATCCCAAGCACTCCTACCTTGTAAATTTCCCTCCTGGGTCAGCCTTGCCTCCTGAGCACATATCCTTGCATAGATCCAGTGCTCTCAAAGAACTGTGAGGTCAAAGTGCAAGGAATCAAAGATTTAATGAGGTGCAGTCTGTCTTTACAGGACCAGCTGTGGTGTGTGCAGTCAGTGCTCTCCTCCTTGCACCATTCCATTGATTGCTGAACAATAGTAGGAACACGTAGATGCTTCTGAACAACAGGGTATAATATTCCGCTTGAATTGTTAGCTTCTTGAAGGGCACAAGTCAGTTTCTTCAAACTTGAAAAGTGACAAAGATCTATAGGTTTCTCTTAGCTCATTTAACAAGCACCCTCAAGCTCTATTTTCTTTCCTTTTTTCTGCTTTGTTTTTGTCCCTTCAGCCTCTAAGCGTTCTTTGACTATAGACAGCACAGTTGCACATCTATTCTATGCAGATGTTTGAGATTTCTTGGAACAGCAGCCGTGCAAACAAAGCACAGCACACCCTTTGCAGGCCCCAAAGAGGTAGAGTTGTGCGACACCACCGAGATCTTCATCTTCACCTCACCCCGAGGGCATCCACAGATGCCCCTGGCCACAGCCTGGCGGTGAGGCCTCCCTGCTGCAGCTCAGACCTTGAAGACTTGGTTGGAGCTGGCATTCAGGAAGCCCTGTGTCTTTAAAAGATCTCAAGTACATCTGTTTCCAATTTTCAGGCCATGAGGCAAGGATTTGGGTGCAAGTAGTTTTTCTGGGAAGCAATCCCAGGAAATACTGTGAGAGGGCGGTCGAGGGGAAGGAGTCAAGAAAGGTGCATTGAAGGATAGATGACTGTCATGGGCAGCAGGGCCATCCTGCCAGGACCCTCTGAGCAAATGTGCAGAGCATGCCTCAGAGTCATCTCCCGGAGCAGGATAGGGCATTTCCAGCTCCCACCCTGATCGTCAATGACTGTCTACACACAAATCCCCTGGAGTGACGGGGGAGGACTCCAGCCATGTCTGCCCCAGCGAGTTTGATAAGTGTCTCACTCTAAGCACTTTTTCATGTCCAGATTTCTTACTAATACAGCCAACAGTATGTGTTTTTAAGTGCCTATTATAAGTAGAATTATTTTAATTGTACATTCACGAAAGTTGCAAAATTCTCTAAGCGAAATACTGTAAGATACTGTGTACAGCTGGGCTAGAAACCTGGCAGGAAGAATGGAATGCTGCTTCTGTGACCCTGCAGCAGGGGCAGGGGCAGGGGGCGGGGTGAGCCCTGCATTGTCCTTGGAGATCACCCCCAGTCCTCACAAAGGGTGCACAGCCTTCTGGCCTCGGAGTCTGCCAGCAAACCTCTCTGTTGGGGTTTAAGTAGACCCCATCTTGTGCACTTCCTTGCAACCTATAGGTATTTTCCATGTGCCTCACTCCTTGCTACGTGAAATGGAAAAGAGCTGTTTATAAGTAGCTTGAGGAGCATGGACTGTTATCCCGTCACCTCCTGGGCCGTAAGTGCTAGATGCTAGGTTGGCTAAGTTCAGTCTTAGAAGTCCTCTGAGGAGTAAATGCACAGAATTTCACTGCAGAAATGAGCCAGGAATAGGATAATGGTGTTCCTATTATCTGAACATCCAGTCTCATAACCCTCTCTCTGCCCCACATTTCAAATTCCAACTCTAAACACGAATTGCCCTACACCCCCAACCGTATCTGTGACCTATGCGCCCAGCAGTGTTCATGGCAGTCATGGTTCCTTCCCTTGTCCTGCAGCATCTGATGTGCGCTGGACTGTGGTGCCTGGTAGAAGGAGACACGTCCTGCAAGACCAAGCTGGACCCTCCCCTGGATGGCACCGAGTGTGGGGCAGACAAGGTAACCCGCAGGCTCCCACCACCTGGACTGCAGCATGCATTCCTAGAGGCCCTGTGAGCCTGTCCTGCTGAAAGGCAGCCTGTACTCTGCTCAGGAGCCCTGCAACATCGTCCAGGGCACTGTGGAAATGGACACAGAGCCCACTCCAGCCCAGGGGGTACCTACATTACCTCCTGTTTTCTTATTTGGATACAAAAAGCATTGTTTAAAATGAATTCAGTTTATTGGTACTTTATTTTAGGTATACATCATGATCACACTCATTATAGGGAATTAGATGCAGAGATCACTTACTGAATATTTCAGATGCACTTCTCTTGTCACATGAATGAATTCACTTAAACTTTAAATCACACTTTAAATGAAAAGCCAATTCCACATGCCATGCACAAAAGGCTATTGTAAGTGAATCTAAGAACAGTTTTATCCAGTTCTGGCTAGATGCTGAGAGACCGAGCGATCCTTGTGAGTGGGAGGGAATTTAAGAGTTGGCAGAGAAAGGAGGAGCAGGCCAGGACCGGCAGCCTCACAGCATTCTGCATAGCGCTACTGAACGCCATGAAAGAGTTAAGGAGGAAATAAGATTCCATTCTGAGTCCTGATTGGAAACCCCTATATCATACAGTTAGAGAAATCTGTCTTAGAGATTGGCTTTGTTTTATCCTCAGAGAAAGCAGAGGTACTCCCGTGAGGAGCTACCTGTGTCACATCTATGCATCAAAGCCCCCCTAAAGTTCTGACCTTAGAACGTGGAAATGCAGCTACTTAACCTTACACAGTTTGTAGAAATTTGAGCTGCTCCGCGAGTCATGTGGATTCATCCTTTTGCTGAGAATTTAGAAAATCGCAATGTGGTACATTCCATGTGGAATTTTAGAGTAAACCCCAAAGCCCACAGGGACGTAAATGTCAGTGAGGAATGTTAGCAGATTAGCAAATACGCACGTCTCCAGATAGTCTCCCTTTATGTAAATCTTACTGTAAAAGCTCAGAGTTTGGCATGGTGGAGAAAGTCAGTGCTTTGGGCAGAGCAGCTTTGCTGAGTGCCCGGGGCACCCCGCTGTGTTTCAGTGGTGTCGAGCAGGGGAGTGTGTGAGCAAGACCCCCATCCCGGAGCATGTGGACGGAGACTGGAGCTCGTGGGGCAGCTGGAGCATGTGCAGCCGGACGTGTGGCACGGGAGCGCGCTTCCGGCAGAGGAAATGCGACAACCCCCCGTAAGTTACCGTGACCAGGCCTTCTGCAGGGTGACTCCGTTGGTCCTCCCCACCCACAATTCTTGCTGCTGTAGCCTGGGAGTTATGGCTAAGGAAACCCGGGTAGGAGCAAGATCCCGGATGCAGGGGCCTTCTGTGTGTGGAGTGGCATCTCGGCTTCACTCGAGCTCTCTCTGTGCACAGTTAAGACACTGTGGAGTCCTGTGGTGAGCTGGCTCCATCCTTCCTTGCTTGGGCTATGGTAGAAAGATTTCCTGAGACAGCTGGATTGCAATCTGTCTCGCCTGCCTCATGCTTTGCTTAGTCCAGGGTCACTCTCAAGAAGCTCATGGATGTTCCCGAAAGAGTTGCCAACCTTCAAATTGGCTGTTGACGGATTTGAGAGCAGCCTGCTTGTTCATGAGTCACAGAGTATGAGGGGTCAGCTGTGTTACTCATCCAAATATTCTTCTCAGGTCTTCCTAGAATTAGTTGACAGAAAATAACATTGTTGTGGTTTTACTCCAGGGTATCTGGGTTTTTGTTGTTTGTTTATTTACTATGCACCAACATCCTTCCTATCCAGCCTCTGATATTTGCTCCAGAAACTCAGAGATTATTTTGCTGATTTATAATAATTCCATCACCATAGGTTTCTCCTCTTGAAACATCCCAATGTTAAATATTTCTGGAATAGACTGTTTTCCTTCTTGATTGTATCATGTTAACTTAGAAAATGAGCAAGTAGTCATTCATGACTAAAAAAAGAAGTACTTCATGTTCATAATTAAGTCATGTGGATAAATAATTAGCAAATATCTCTTGTGTTTAAAAATTCCAGTGCTCAGGCTGTACCAATTAAATCACAAATGCTGGGGATGTGTCACAGACATTGAATCTTTTAAATCTCTCCATGTTTGCAGCCACTGAGGGAATCTGGATTAAAGGAAACTGACATGCATGACTTACTGTTACAAACACCATTTTTTCCAGTAAGGCTGTGCTAGCTGGCATCATATCTTACTAGAACATAATAAAACACAGTGCTTGAAACATAGTAGGTGTTTAATCTGATAGGAGTGACTTAACTAAAACCCTACAAGTTTTGGTGATTATACACCCTATTTGGCTAAATGATAGAAAATTAATATTGGGTGCTTTCAATTTTTATTGCTCTATGTTGAAGTTAATATCTTGACCCTTGGCTCCAAAAAGAGAGCTATGCTTTTAGATTTCATGTCCTGAGATTTGGACCTGATTCTGTGGGTTATGAGACCTCAAGGAAGACCTTTCTGTTCTCTGTTCTCAGTTTCCTATTAGAGGGAGCTGGCAAATTACAGTGGGAAGAACCACGCATCAAAGCCAGCAAGACAAGTGTTTGATCCTGCTACCTCTCCTATGGCTTTATCTTGTCTCTCCTCATGAAAGATGGAAGGGTCCATGGGAATGTGTGTAAAATCCTTGGTCTACATTTAATAAACAGTCCTTATTATTAGCACTAACAGGAGAATGAGGATGAGGCCACTTGTCCTGTCCTATCCACCCCATATGCAATTTTGCAGCTCAAGGGAGGGCAGGATTCACAAAGGTCTTGGTTGTTATGGGTGTTCCATATCTGTGATTGGAGCTGTGGGTTTCATTGATGTCTGGCCTCCTTTGGCATATTACATATGTCATCCTTCATCAGGTGGCACTTAATAAATATCACTGTAGAGGAGGACCAGAGCCTTTAAGTATCCCCAAGGACCCAATGTCCAAAGACTGTGGGCAATTGGATTGTGTTTTGCTGTAGATGACATTTGTAAGAATAAGTTGCTGTCAGTATTGGAAAATGGCATTAGACATAATTTTTAAGAGTGCCAGCATTGTCTTTTTGTCATAGGGTGACATTGGATACTATCCCCATCCCCCACCTCCACCCCCACCCCAATTGGAAGGCTGCAGAGGAGGAGCCTTATGACTTCATGATTTGGACCCTGGTACCATTCTGGTGGCTTCTTACCCTGCCCATCTATGGTTGCTCTGGGATAGGATAAGGGAATTTTATGATGAGAAGCTCCTAAAGACTCCCTAGTTTTAAGAGCTGTATTAACATACCCACTCTGGCTAAGCCTGTCATGACATTTCATATGTTGAGATTCTCATCCCATTCCTCCAGGTCCAACAGTTCCAGGAGAGAAGCTTAGCTAAAGTCACAAAGTTGTGAAAATTGTCATTCATCTTCTTTATCAGCCACTGTACCATAGTGGTCATCAGGTTTATCTCTTGCTGCTCATCTTCCTGAATGTCCCCATTGAAGAATGAGGGTGTTGGAGGGACTGTCACACAGAGGCGCCTGAAGGCTTGTGGGTCTCCACATGTGGGATTATGCGGGACACTGTTGCATCTTCATGCTCCAGTGTCTGCTGTCTAACACTGCCCCATGGCGCTGGGCAGTGGTGGAAGTGTCTGAAGGAAAAGGCTTATTCCCAGCAGGCCTGTGCTCTTCTTTCTGCTGATACCTTTGCAGCATGCTGCCTGCAGTAAGCCTTGAGGAACCCTACATCTGAATCCTGCTAGGTGTGTGCTCACACTGACAAGTAAAGACATGCAAGTCCTGCCAAGACCCTCCCTGCACTATGCTGACTCCTCCCAGCTCACATCTACCTCTCAGTATCCACCACCTCCATCGACTTCATTGCATCAGTGCAGAGCTCCTGTTTGTCTTCCCTTTGTCTCCTTTCCATCTCCTCCTCCGTGCCTGATCAAGATAGAAATGACAGATGAAGGGGCCACCCACCCTGGGCCAGGTTTCCTTAGGCATGTTTCCGTGCAACACTGTAGGAGAGTTTTTTATCTTTCCTATGAGATACACACAGAATGGTAGACAGGTAACCTGCCTGAGGAGGTGCAGCAAGGCAGTGGTGGGCTGGGTTTGGAGCTCAGTTTTGGAAACTACAAGTCCAAAATCAAGGTGTCAGCAGGTCTCCTTGAAATGTGGAAGGAGACTCCATTCCTGCCTCTCTCCTGGCTCCTGGTGGCTCTGGTGGCTTTGGGGCATTCTTCTGCCTCTCTTTTTCTATGGTCTCTTCTCCGTGTCTTCCCACTTTTCTTCCCTTAAAAGAACACTTAGAAGACCTGGTGCAAGATGATCTCAAGATCTGTAATGAGATCTCCTAAGACTTTTGTCTGAAGAAAGTTACATTGTCGTACTGCAGAGGCACTTGTCACTGGTAGGGGAGAGAGGAGCCTCCCTTCAACCCATGGCCACCTCAGGGCTTACTGTCTCTTCCTCGGGCACATTGGTCCAACTCAAGACCTACGATGGAGCTCCTTTCTTTTTTTATAGCTTGCCTTTGCCCCTCTTTGGACCTCAACATGAATATCTTTTCCTTAGGGAGCCCTCTTTCCCTGGGCACCATGCTCAAAGCAGGGAGCCTGGTGTACTCTGCAGCATCCCTTCTGGATATTGCCAGCATTATAACAGGTCATAATTATTGTCATTTCTTGGCTTATTTGTCTTTGCTGTGTCCTCTCCGCTGGCCTTTGAGCTGCATGAAGACCCAGGATGGGCCATGCCTGTTTGGCTCCATCCTACCTTCCATGCCTACAGCAAAGTGGCCACTCTATAAATGTGTGACCACCTTACATTCAAACTATGTCCTTGCCCTGAAAGGCAATCTTTCTGCTCCTTCAGGCCCTAAAACATCCCTAAGATCTCTTCATCCCCTACCCTAAGACAAAGATGATCACAAATAATTTAGCCCAATAGGTAGATGGCCACGTGGTGTGGAGAAAGACTCAGGCCCCTGTCCCCGTTCCCGTCTCACCTCACTGCAGTCTGAATGCATGGAGCAGCCGGGGAGTGTGGTCCAGGTCCATGGTGAGGTCCACTTGCCATCCATGCCTCCCTGTTCCTGGCAGTGCCTCTCAGAAGGGCTCAGCACTATCTTAAGAATAAACTTTGATGACAGCATAGCTCCGTTTCCTGTTCAGAACAGAAAGGACATGCTGCTTTTGCTGGGGGAATATTCCATTCCGGTTTTCTCCTCCACACAGCCAGGCCAGGTGAATGCTGAGTGACAGCGCTGGGTGAGTGCATCAGCAGCTGTCTTCAGTGCTTCCTGGGGAGGAGGGAGAGGTGGATGGCACTGCAGTGGACAGACATGCAGTGCAGCTTTGCAGTGTCCAGCCTGCTTTGCACGATGGCCAGATGCAGTGGTGGTTACAAAGCACAGCTGATTGTGACCTCAGAGCCAAGTTCTGAGCAGAACAATGTCCTGTCTGTCTCACTTCTTAAATCATGAGGCTCCCTGCCTCAGGATTTCACAAGGATGTGCAGAGCTCGCTGCCTGTACGTCTCGGGCTTGGAATGCTCCCTTGACCCTCCCCAATCCTCCTCATGCACATGCCTGGCTGCTTTCCCTGCCTCCTGCCGCTGGTTTATTCACTGTCCAAAAATACTGGCGAGAGAGTCCCCTCCACCCTATCTCTCTTTCCTAGCCTTGGTTTTTATAGCTAGTAGAGTTTCTATTTTTTGGCCAGGTGACATGAGGGCCCTGGGACCATCTGTGTTTTGAAACCAACTTCCCAGGCTTGTCCTTCCCTGACATTTGTGTCATCGTTGATGGAAGTCACACCCAAACATTACAAGGTAGAAAATCCATCTCAAATTCCAATTCTGGTACCCACGGGAGGCTTGTCGGAGGGACGGCGGGGAGCAAGCCTCAGGTGCCCTTGCATGCAGAGCCCACTCTTCACAGCAAGGGCGGAATGGGAAGGAGAGCAGAGGCGGAACCGGGCTCGGTCGGGAGCCATCTGCAGTGTAGGGATGAAGTCCATGGCTGCAGCTGGTTTCTGTCTTCACAGTGCGACCCCGTGAGTGTTTTCACTGTGCCAGTGACCTGGCGTGGGTACAGCTGATTCTCAGCCAGGTTTTCTGGGTTTAAGTATAAATTACATGGGGTGCTTGAACACCTTTTCCTTTTTTCTGAGGAAGGTTCAATACTAGGATGTATCGTAATCTGTACCGCACCACCTCCTAAACCCTTTGAATTTGCCCTACTGGCTCATGGGAGCTCGTAGAGCCAGGGCAGAGGCAGAACTGCCAGCTCCGCTGAGCTCGCCAGGACTCTGGACGGCATGCCAATCTGAGCTGCTGTTGGGGCTTTGGCTTCCTTTGCTTCCAGCCTCCCCTGGCTCTCTGGATCCATCCCCTCCCGAGGGCAGGGGCAGGTCTGGTGCTGTGTGATCCCTTTCGTCTTGGCATCTCTGTTATTTCCGGACTGCACTGAAGTCCATCTGGTGGTCCCGTCTAGGCGCTGTGCACCCACCCCGATGGGAGACTATCCTCACCCTGCAGGGGCCTGGGGTTGATGTGCAGTGGAGCTCACCTTTCCCTCCACACTCCCGTTTTCTTTCCTTTGTTTTTTTTTTAACACCAAGTACATTTATTAGAAAAGAAGAAAGTTATGAAATAACCTCATGTCTTTCCTTAAGAAATCAGAAATAAAAGAATAAAACCAAAAACAAATAGAAGAAAACAATAAAGATCAGAAAACAGTCCCTCATCAAAATGCCAACATCATTTTTCATAAAAATTAACATTTTGATTCTTACATTTCTGTAGAAATACGAAAGACTCAGAATAATCTAAACAACTTTGATAAAGGAACAAAATTAGAGCTCCAGCCCTCCCCACTCCTATGACTTATCACAAAAGTACACCAGTGATGACAAAAATGGCATTGATATGGAGACAGACAAACCACCAAGGTACCAATATAAAGTCCCAGAATAGATACCCACAAAATAGATAATTGATTTCCGGCAAAGATGCAAAAGCAATTAAGTGGAAAAAGAATTATACCTTCAATAAATATGCTAGAACAACTGGATCCACATGCAAAAAATCCAAACCTTATAGCACATCAGAAATTTCTCAAGACATCCAAAAGTTGACTCAAAGTGGCTCACAGTGGATTAGTTAAAGGCAGGTGTGGCCTGAGTCGTTGCTTTGGCTGAAGTCATTCTCTCTGGGACAAAAAGACTGGAACAAGGGAAGGCAGGAGCTACAGAGATGTTCAGTGAAGGGGGCATTGAATTTGCTTCTGATAACAAAGGAGGCCATTGTGCTGCTGCTTTTTTTTAAAACCATCTTAATTGTTTTTATAGGCATGTATACACATGTACATGTTTTCTCTTTCAGCTTGTCACTAATGAAACAGTATGATGTTCACACACGCATGTCTTATTTCACTAAATAGTATGTTCTCAGGGTGCATCCATTTACCCATATAGGTCTCTCGTTTATTGTTCTTTGTGGCTGAGTAGTATTCCACTGTGTAGAAATACCACACCTTTTTTACCCATTTCTTGATCAGTGGGCGTTTAGTTTGTTTCCAAGATCTGGCTGTTATAAACTGTGTTGCTATAAACATGGGGCACATACATCACTGTGGAATGATGTCTTTAATTTTTTTGGGAGGATATCCAGAAGAGAATAGTTGGGTCGAAGGATACTTCCAATCCTAGTTTTTTGAGGAAGCTCCACACTGATTTCCACAGTGGTTGCACCAGCCTACACTCCCACCAACAGTGGAGAAGGCTTCCTTATTCCTCACAGGCCCCTCCAGCATTTGTTATTGTTTGATTTCTTAATATTAGTCGTTCTTTCTGGGGTGAGGTGAAATCTCAGTGTTTTAATGTGCATCTCTCAAATGACCAGTGCTGTGGAACATTTTTTCACATATTTATTTGCTGTTTGTACTTCTTCATCTGAGAAGTGTGTCTTCATCTCAGATGTCCATTTTTGAACTGGGACTTTAAATCTGGGAGGACTGATTTTTTTTTTTTTTTTAGTTCTTTATATGTTCTTGATAGTTTCTTTATCTGAGGAACAGATGACGAACATTTTCTCTCACATTGTGGGCTGTTTCTTCCCTCTTTTGGTGGTTTATCTTGCATGCAAAAGCTTTTCAGTAGGGTGAGATCCCAGTTGTTCATTCTTTGTGATAAGTCCTGTGCACTCTGGATTTTATTCATAAAGTCTTTACCTACACCATTGTCTTAAGAGTTTTGCCCACTCTGTCTTCCAGCACATTTAATGTTTCTGTTTTAAGGTTAAAATCTATATTCTGATTTTAGCTTAATGCGTGGTGAAAGATAAGGGTCCAGTTTGAATCTTTGACATGTGCAGAGCCAGTTTTTCCAACACCATTTATTAAAGAGGTTTTCTTTCTCCTGGTGAATGTGTTTGGCACCTTTGTCAAAGTTATGGTGGCTTAGTGTGTCTGCAGTTGTTTCTCTGTCTTCTAATCTGTTCCATTGATCTTTAGGTCTGTTATGTTTGTTTATTTTGGCCAATACCACACTGTACTTTTTTTTAATCACAGTAGCTTTATGGTATAATTTCAAGCCAGGGATTGTGATACCCCTGTCTTGTCTTTGTTGCCCAGGATTGCTTTTGCTATTCTAGGTCTCTTCCAGATAAGTTTTAGGATTTTCTCTAATTCTGTGAGATATGCTATTGGAATTTTGATTGGGACTGCATTGAATCTGTTTAACAGTTTTGAAAGTATGGCCACTTTTACTGTATTGGTTCTTCCTACCCAAGAGCACAGGACATCTTTCCATTTTCTAATATCCTCTTCAGTCTCCTTTTCAGAGTACTATAGTTTTCAACCTTCTTCTATTTTATCACCAAGGCCGTTCTCATTTAATCTTTTATTCATTTTAAAACATATCTATGGAAATCAAACTTGGAGAGAAGTGCATGCCCTGGAGTGTTACTGCCCGTCCCCTGAGGCAGGTACAGGGGACCAGGCAGTTGTGTGGCCCAGGCCCAGGCAGGGAGTCACTGCCCCTGCTGAGCATTCATGCATGTGGCCATATGTCAGCCGCTGGCTTTGTGAGCTACCTGCCCTTCTGCACTGCCATGAGCTAAGGTGGCTGCCAGGCGCTGCTCCATGTTGTCACCAGCTCATGGTACCATCCACCTTTTATACTGTGGCCATTATGGTGGGTTAGTTGCAGTATCTAATGGAAGTTTTAATTTGCATTTCTCTCAGCAGCAGCAGCAGCAGGCCTGTGTGTCCCTGTATTATTTGGATATTTTTTCCTTATGAAAAGCCTGTTCTGCTATTTTATTTCACATCTAAGCTTCTACCCTATCAGTGTGTAGAAAGCCCTTGACAAACAAGACTAGTCATTGGGAATTGATGTTAGAGATGCATCTTTTTTTTTTTTAAGAGGAAAAAGAGAAAAACACAAAACAAAACAAAGCGGTGTAAGGGTACACGTAATACAGAACTACAAAAAAAAAAAAAACATAACAGTAAGAAATCACCTGTTAGTAGATTACACATTATCATCTTGAACATAGTTGCTCAAATCACAGTATCAAAGAATACAAGGTGGACATTCAAACAGGGAGACTGCAAACAGCTGTGTTCAATGATCCAAAAACATTGATATAGTCAGCTATTTAACACCCCTAAACACACTTGCTGTTATATCCGTTAGAGCTCTTTTTCTTTTTTTTTCCCTCTCTTTTTTTACAACAAAATTTATACATTTTGGATTTTATTACTCCTTAGTGCTTATTACTTTTTTTTTGGGGGGGGGGAGAGAATACAGTCAAATATGGCAATAGAGATGCATCTTAAAACTCCCCTCCTGCCCTGACTGTCTCTGTGCCAGGCTATCCTTTTCTGGCCTCCCGATGGCCAGTGGACAGTGCTCTCCCTGTGTGGGAAGCAGGAGCTTGTGCGTGTTACATTTCACTGCCGTCTCTTACTTGCCTGTTGGAGCATTGTCTTCATCATTGTAGACGTGGTCGGAACCTCTTCTGAATCTTTGTACAGACTTAACGAGGTCATGGTTCTGAGAGCTGGGGAAGCATCAGCCTTTGGGCACATGAGCTGTTTCACGATCGCTGTTCATGTGACAGCGTCTTCCTCTGACCTCATTTCAGGGTGAGGCTTCAACTTGCCAGCTCATCCCTTGAGGCCTCCCGGGGCCATAGCGCCTGTGCTGTGAAGCCTGCAGTTCTGCCCTTCTGACCCTTTGGAAAAGGCTGAGTGAAGGACCTGGACCCGCCTTTCGTTCTCAGAAGAGGAAAGCTGTATTCTACATGATTTCTGTTATTTTAGCTGAGTCCAGCTAGTTTCCGTGGTTTAAGTCTTTCTAGGTGTGTACTGTTTTTCTCCATCCTTGCACAGTTCAAAGGGATTTCCAGTGTGAATGGCAGCCCCAGCCCTGTGCTCTGCTCCCACCCATGTGGATCTGGCCTGTTCTGCCTGCGGGAGCAGCTCCTGAAGTCTCCTGTGTCTGCACAATTCAGGCTTTGCCCACTTGCTCAGTGTGTACTTCTTGGCAAA